GCATGGACTGGGATCGCTCTCCCGGCATGCTGAGTAGGGCCCCTGACTGGGCAGGGAGTATCTGGCATCCATGCGCTGGGCCTTGGGAGGGCTCTGGGTTATCTCTTTTTTCCACTGAGTATCTCAGGGGGAGTGAGTCTCTCCAGTGACATCCTGGGAGAGGCTTTTCTTTGGGGCAGGAGTCCTCTGATTGGGGCCGGAGTTTCTGCGGTTCTCTCCCTGCTGGGGGCTGCACAGGAATGGGGCATCTCTGGGAGTTCTTGTCCCAGGCGGCCAGTGGGCGCCCCCTAGGGGGACTACTGACCACTCGTGACACCCCCAGTACCTGGTCATGGAGTACTACGTGGGCGGGGACCTGCTCACGCTGCTGGGCAAGTTCGGGGAGCGGATCCCGGCGGAGATGGCCCGCTTCTACCTGGCCGAGATCGTCATGGCCATAGACTCGGTGCACCGGCTAGGCTATGTGCACAGGTGGGCGCGGCGGGGCTGAGGGCTGTGACCTGAGGGCCAGGGCCGGGAGAAGGCCTGCTTGGCGGGGCGCGGGCCGGAGGGGCGGGGTCTGGAGGGTCGGGGAAAGGGGGGTTCACCGTGCCTCCCCTCTCCTTCCCTCTGCGCAGAGACATCAAGCCCGACAACATCCTGCTGGACCGCTGCGGCCACATCCGCCTGGCCGACTTCGGCTCCTGCCTCAAGCTACGGGCGGACGGAACGGTGAGCGCAACCTGGCCGCGGGTAGGGTTAGGGAGGCGCAGAGTTCAGGGGCGGGGTGGAGACCCAGGTGTGTGTGTGTGTGTGTGTGTGTGTCCCCGTCCGGGTAGGGTTAGACCAAGGTTAGGGTTTGTGTGTGTGTGTGTGTGTGTGTCCGTGTCCCGGTAGGGTTAGACCAGGCACAGGGAGGTACCAAGCTTTAGGGGGATGACTGGAAGGAGGGGTTGGAGCAGTTGGGCAGGGCGAGCCAGGGCCCAAGGGCGGGCCGAGCTCAGCTGTGGGCCTGTGGGCGCAGGTGCGGTCGCTGGTGGCTGTGGGCACCCCAGACTACTTGTCCCCCGAGATCCTGCAGGCCGTGGGCGGCGGGCCCGGGCCAGGCAGCTACGGGCCCGAGTGTGACTGGTGGGCGCTGGGCGTGTTCGCCTATGAAATGTTCTATGGGCAGACGCCCTTCTACGCCGACTCCACTGCGGAGACCTACGGCAAGATCGTCCACTACAAGGTGAGCGTAGGCCCGCAAGCCCCATCCCTCCCCGACGGGCTCCCGTGCCAGCGTCCTCCTCTTTCCCTCTTCCTCTGTGCAGGAGCACCTGAGTTTGCCGCTGGCCGACGCGGGGGTCCCTGAAGAGGCTCGAGACCTCATCCGGCGGCTGCTGTGTCCTCCAGAGACACGGCTGGGCCGGGGCGGAGCAGGCGATTTCCGGAAGCATCCTTTTTTCTTTGGCCTCGACTGGGATGGTCTCCGTGACAGCGTGCCCCCCTTTGCACCGGATTTTGAGGGTGCCACTGACACATGCAACTTCGACGTGGTGGAGGACGGGCTCACTGCCATGGTGAGCGGGGGCGGGGTAGGTACCTGCGGCCCGGGCTCGGCTGAGGGAACCTCCCCATCCCCCCTACAAAGTTGGAGTAATGACAGTGCCCACTAGGGTCCCGAATCGTTCATTCTCCAGAGCACCTGCTCTCTGCCCACCCAGTGCTGAGGACATAGCCATGACCTAGACCTACAGTCCAGTAAGGAGACACACAAAAGGCCCCAGGGCCAATCAGGGCTAAGGTGGGGCGTTGCAAGGGACAGGGCTCTTGACCCAGCAGGGAAGGTCCTGGAGGCCTTCCTGGAGGTAGGGGGCGGGGGGCGATCTGAGATTGGGAGGTGAAAGGCAGAAGAAGCCTCTTCCTTAGGCCATCTCTGTCTCCACTGTTTCACAAGCTGCCCTGGGTGCTTGCCAGCTCTGGGTGCCCATGTGGGCAATTCTGGGGAGACAGAACTGGCCGAATTAGCCCTGCCCCACCCTCATCCCTGTGCAGTCTAGAGAGGCTCATCCTTCTGTGTAGTGTGGCAAGTGCCCAGAAAGAAAGCAAAAAGGTACAAGAAAAAATGATGGAGGGGCCACTTTAGATATGTTCTGAGGTGGGGTCAGTTTGGGAGGACATGTAAGCAATGGCCAGATAGGGAGGAGGGGCCAGCCCTGATGACTGCTGGTCACATCCCCACATCTCTTGTGTAGGAGACCCTGTCAGACATGCAGGAAGGTGTGCCACTGGGGGTTCACCTGCCTTTCGTGGGCTTCTCCTACTCCTGCATGGCCCTCAGGTAAGCACTGCCCGGATTGCCCTCCAGGGGTCTGGAGGCTGCTTGGGCCTCCTGTGTCCTGGCTCCTCGGTGGCCAGGAGACTTGCAGGATCACTCTCAGAACTGTACTGTCTTGGGATCAAGGACTCCTGGGAACCCAGACTTGTAGGACCTTAAAATTTAAGACCATAAACACTTTACATTTTTAGATTAAAATTTCAGATCCAGTTGTAAACCTCAAAGCCACAGACTTTGCCTTCCAGGGTCTTGCAACCATCAACTTTTACATTTCTAGCACACAGAATCGTGGGGCCTCAGAATTGTAAAAAGTAAAAAGTTTTGAATTTTACAGTTTTAAAAGAACCCAAACTCTTTGAGTTAGTCATATAATAATAAGGCCTCTAAAGTGTTAATTACACAAAGAACACTTCACTCATCACAAGTAAATCAGAAAATACAAGTGAGAAAAAGGAAGTCAACACATGAACCCACCAGTGCCCCAGCAGTGTTCCCTGGTACTGTCTACTCAGCTTGGGTTCTGGACAGTGGCTTACAGACACCACCCTTCATCGTTAATGAGCTCACATGACTGAGCCGCTGTGTAGGGTCCTGCTCAGTGAGTGGGCCAGGATTGGACCCAGGTGCACGTCCAGGAGACATACGGCCTGAGACATGTTCCCATAGAAGGGGTGGCTGGGTTGAAGGGGACCTCTGCTTTACATTCCTGGCCATGTCCCCTTCCCAGCAGCAGAGTATGGGGGGTACTGATGTCTGGAGTCACAGCCTTGGGATCCCACACCCAGTGAGACTGCATCTGCAGAGGTGGCCAGAGTTGAGCAGTCTCCCTCATGGAGTCTCCCTCCCTGTCCTGAAGCCCCAACAAGAGGGGTCTGCTGAGGTCACATGTCCAGGGAGGAGATGCACAGACCCTAGAATTGGGTGTCTGGACCCTAAGTTCCTGCCTAGGGTGAGAATAGGCACAGGGAGGGACTAGGCATTTGGGGAGTGGTTAGGAGGGGGCGGGAGCTGCCGGGTGGGGTGGAGCCAGGGACTCCAGGGGAGGAGCAGGGCCCTTTTTTTTTTTTTTTTT